GAAGTGGTGTAGCAAGTCGTAGTTGTGCCGAGCCAACGACCCTTTGAGGCAGAGCTCGAACGCATAAACCTTCTTTTTGGTGTGCAGTGGCACAGAAACTCCATGTTGCACATTGTATTTTGTGGGATTTGTTTTTATCGGTGATGCACTCAATCTTCTGAACATGTGAACGACATGTTAACTTACTGCAGGCTTTCTTCAGAGTCACAAAAGATTTTCAGTTTGTTTTCTTGTTTGGATGTTTCTTGCCACTCTTCCACGGAACAGTGGGGCGCGTTGACCCGTTCACATGGCGAAGATGCCTACTCACCGCGGGAGCCGCACGCCCTACAGGGTTCTGGGACCAGAACAGCCGCCGGATCTTTGATTTGGGCTTATGCGGAATGATGGCTGCTATTTACGGCCCTTACGCTCTCCATGCTTTACCGAGAGCAGGTCCAACTGTGGACTTGCTTCACGGAGGGCAGAGCCATCTGAGAGGGGCCATTTTATAAGGTCTGATGCAATTTGCAAAACCAACGCGGGAACCGTGGCTGAACGACTTCCGGCAAAGCCTGCACGTCGCAGCTTGTTTCATTATTGTTTTTGGCTAGATATACTTCGTTTGCTAATTTTCTTGTAGGGATCGAGAGCCAAAAAAGGCTTCAGCCTTGGTCTCGGCGCTGGCCGCAAAATGCGTTTGAGGCCACCAAAGAAATACTCCTTCAGATGCTGCCCGAAACATTGGAAAAAGGCGCTATGCTCACGTGTGAGCTCGCGTCGAGGGGGTGTGATTTACCACGCATGCGAACATGTGCTTCTGCTGTCTTGGTAGGCTTCTTGTCAACTTTGTTTCACTATCACAGCTTGACTGCTCAAGAACTGCTTTGTGTGAGTGTAGGTGTTGCCTATTAGCTTGTTCTTTACGGTAACAATCTCCGATCGTCCTGCTTGCTTGCTTTGCTTTGCTACGATCTACGACTGGTTGCCAAGGGCTTTGTGACCGAAAGGCAAGTGGATTCCTCTGCTTTTCACAAGAAGGTTGCTCCCGAATGCGCCAGCAGAATGCCATATATCTGAGAAATTGTCCTGCCCGGCTGTGGAGTGTGCTGCTCGATTTGACAAAGGAAGCATCACTGAGAGTCTCCTCCAAGGAAGCCCCAAGACCACTTCGGCATCACCTTTCACCCTAGAGGCCCTAGTGAAGACTCTAAAGAAGTCGCAAGCATCCTTCAAGATCTTCAGCCACTTCTTGATGGCAGCCGGTCTGTTGTCTGATTGTTTCTGGACCCACGTGGGCCCTAACCTCGTTGGCAGCTTACCACCTCGGCCTTCCAACTTTATAGATTATAGCCGGCGGGCCACCCGAAGTCTTCGGCAGAGCTACAGCCGAATGCATAAGCACATTCCCAGTCGCCCCTTGCCAGGAAAACACTCGGTAAGGGACTGGGACAGCTGTTCACGATGATTCTCTCCCAAGGTTGCTTCAAAATGCTCGTGGCTCCCCGATGCACGGCATGGGCATGATGCCTCTCAAAAGCAGGATCAAACGTCCTCTTTTCGGCCAGCGGGCCTGAGACTTGTTTCACACAGCTTAGGCCCAAGACCCGGTTCTATACAACTTCTCGCCCACCCACCCTCTTGTTTGGGCAATACACGGAACGGACAATCATTAAACTTGCATCCAATGTGAGATCGGTTTGCAACATTCAATGGTTTGTGAAAAACTTTTCGTTTTTCAGAAACCTTTCAAAAAGGTTACAAAGCCTTATGGGACTAATATGTGATGTTTTAGCGTCCCAAAAAACGGAATCCAAATTGGAGTTGGGATTCGGATGATCTACATTTGTTCGGGGCGGGGTTGAACCCTAAGTTAGGGTTGGATTTGGGTTCACCAGCAGCCAGAACGCTTGTTTTCGGACGCAATCACAAAACTTCAAACATGCAGCAATGATGCAGATGAATCGCTTGTTTCCATGCAATCATTTGAATGCCGCGGATAATTTTGATTGGTTGTTTTGGCGACGCAGCACAAACTCTTGCTGTTTGATTGCAATCACATGTTCATGTTGCGTTTTGTGTATTTTTGTACACTGGTTTGACGTAAAGATGGCGTCATCGCCACCATCTGCCATCCTGTTGGAGCACGAATGACACTTGTGACGGAAGACTTGTGCGTTTACACCAACATTCAGAATTTTGCAATGTGTTTCGCCTAGTTTGGGTAGCGAAGCGGACCAAACAGTTTGTTCCAAGGAGGCCCGGGGGGGAGGGGGGGAACAATGGGGGCTTGAGACCACTATCAGTTCTGTACGCCTCAGCCATCATGCTTCGGTCCACGGCCTGCATGCAGTTGCTCTCAGTCATGTCAGTTATGTCAGTCATGTCAGTTGCTTGCAGTTTTCAGTTTTCCTTGCTCGCGTTGCTTTTCAGTTTTCCCTTTGGCGAAACATTCATGTGAGGATGATTTTAAAGAAGTTTTATCTTTGAACACTCCTCCTCAAAGGAGGTGTTTTCCAAATCTTTGATTTATCATTTCAGTCGCCTATGATTTTATGTTATTTGAGTTGAGGGCGGTTCGCCCCATGTCAGTTCAATGATATATCTTACGCCGATACATTCTGGATCAACCGGAAGGGGACTCTTAGTCCTTTTAGTGTCTGGGGGGCGCCTTTTCAGGCTTCTTCGCGCAATGGAAGATAGGCTGTGGGGCCTTCTTGAAGAGAAGGGCTGCAGTGCTGTGGGTTTGCTTCGCACTCATTTTCAGACTCCTTGGCACCTGGCATGCGCAGTGGACAGTGTTGAAGACGCTGTGCGATTGGCAGAGCAGATCACTCCGGGTTCGATTCCTTCGGACCACAAACGGTTGGGATCTCAGATCTGGGAGTGGATGACTGCTCACACAGGTCTTTTCAAGCGGGTGCAAAGCAGGCTTACTGCGAAGGCCACACGAATTGAAGCGACCCCTGGAAATTCGGTGTCCCCTTGTGATATCTTCGATCAGTGCGTGAGCAATAGTCTTGATCTTTGCAAGCAGACCAGTCGTGCACATGCTAGATGGATTTCGAATGGCGCCGGGACCCCGGCGGATGCAGAAAAATCTTCTAAGAAATTTTGGGGAACTGTCCTGGTTCAGATCATGGTGGAGGCAAAGCTTCCTATCGTTGACATTCCGGTTGAGAATGAGGAGCAGCGTGTTTCTTATGCTCTCCGAGCCCTGGGAGCTCGGAGGTCCAAGACACTCAGGAATCGTGCAAGGACCTGGCGCAAGGCTCGTGACTGGATGCTTTCAGTGAAAGGTTACCCTTTCCCGAAGAGTCCTTCTGACGTTGTAGATTACCTCATCTTCTTGGAGCAGGAGGTGGGTACAAAGAGCTGCATTTCTGAGCTTATGAGCGCATTGTCTGTCATTGAGGATGCTGGACAGGTTCCTTTGACAAATCAGCTGTGCAAGAACCGATTGGTTGTCGCGGCCTCAAAGAGCACCGGGGCTGAAGTGCAGGAGGGGAAAACCAGCAGGAAGCAGGCGGCTCCCTTTTCGGTGGCGATGTTGTTATCTTTGGAAATTTTTGTGGTGACTGGTACGAACCCTCATTATGCTCGGTGCCTGATGTGGGCCTGCTTGGTCTGCGTATGGGCTTGTATGCGTGTCTCTGATCTGCAAGGAATTGACGTTTCTCGCCTTAGGCTTTTTCGTGAGGGGCTTAAGGGCTTTTTAGTGAAGACCAAGACGACAGGACCTGATAAGAAGGTGGCCGAAGTTCCTTTCTTTATAGGCAGGTGTGTCGGGCTTTCAGGACGTGATTGGCTGGGCATTGGATTTGATTTGTGGAAAGGCCTGGGACAGCTTGATCGCACTTATTTGGTTTTCCAGTCTTCTGAAGATTTTGAGGAGCCATCTTACAAATTCGCCAAGCCGGAGGTTATTAGCAATTACATGCGTCTTATTTGGGGCCAACTTTTGGTCCCTTTCAGGAAGCTTGGTGAAGGTGTTTGGAGATCCAGGGCTGAGGGGAAGCTGCTGGGTGATGAATGCTATCTTTTCTGGACAGGTCACAGTATGAGACATGTTTTGCCAACGATTGCAGCGGTGCTTGGTGTTCCAAAGGAGCAGAGGGATTACCTTGGCAGGTGGCATGTTGGTCTGCACCAGAGTGCGGATTACATACACACATGTCGCCAGATCGTGCATGATTTGCAGCGTCGGGTTTGTGACAAACTTTCGGGCGGCAAACCTGGCTACGATGAGGAGGAGTTGTTTGATGAGCTTAGGGCCTGGCTTCAGAGGAGAGGCTTGGACCCTGAACCTTGGCTTAAGCTTCACTCCGTGATGCGCACCGTGGATGGATGCAAGGTTTTGAATCAGAGATGGCCGCTGCTTCATGACATCACCGAGAGGTCGGACGACGCTGCCCCGGCCCCGTTGATTTCAAACTCTTCACAAGATTCTGGAGAGTCTCCTTTCTGGGTGAGCATCAGCAGGCACTCAGGGCACAGGCGACTGCACATACGGAATGGCTGCTGGGTCACTCCCGGTAGCTGTCACCGTTTCGCTGAGGTGTGGAAGGTTGACTCCTCAGTGGCCGACAGCTTCTGCAAATTATGCTATCGTGATAAGGAGAGCTCATCTTCGAGTTCGGGGGAGTCTTCCTCCACGGACTTGGGTGAGCCAGCAGAACCACTCGAGGTGGCTGACCCGTCTTTTCACACGTGATGCAACTCGTTGGAAGTGTGTGTGAACAAAGATGGGAGTGCGCTCTGCGTGCAACTTTCAGTGCACTTTCAGTCCATTTGTTGATGCTTTCAGCTCGGGCGTCACGTTGCGCAAATTCTGTGGGATGCCGGTGACTTGCTCAAGGATCCCTTTCAGTTATCAGGACATGAGTGTCACGTGGTGACAGCTATCAGATCTGAGAAGCTTGCTTCGCTTTCAGCTTCCCTCCGGGGTTTCAGCCTTCAGCATCAGGACATCTGTCAGACTTTTAGGTAACTCGATCGTAGACAAACCGCGGTGGTCCGCCATGGCCGCGGACCCAGCTGCACAGCGTGCATATCTTCAGGCTAATGTGGATGCAGACTTTGTGTTCCTTCTTGAGGAACATGGGGTCGATCTGGCACTTCAGTTTGCTATCGGTCAACATTACAAGAGCATTCGCACTTTTGCTGCTTTCGCCGATGATCGTGGTGCAGCACGTACTGCGATTACAGCCGATTTCGCTATCAGGCCTGAGAGCGCTGCGGATCGAGCTAGGATGGCATGCATCATCACTGCTTGGGAAGCTTCCAAGATGATTCGCGAGGAGGAGGCTAAGCTCCGTGCTGAGGCTAAGGTTTTGGGTGTTCAGAAGCCACTCGCCTCTTCGGATCGCGCGGCCATGCGGGTCGCCCTGGAAGCTGTTCGAGGCTACACCGTGCCGGAGTCCGAGGAGCCGGCGCCTGAACTTGGCACACAAGCTTGAACAGATTGAGAATGGCGAACCCACTGCCAGCTATCTTGATGAAGTTATTTCTCGAAAAGAGTCCAACTCGCTGCAACTTCAGACTTCCTTGGACAATCAGGGCCGGCTCCGGGTCATGCGACAGAAGCCAAAGGGTCGCCTTCCGCAGAATACGGAGGAACTGCGGGCGAAGCTTCGCCTCGAGGCCTCCACTTGGGTCATGCTCTCAGCCAAGTGTCGCGGTCGTGCATATTTGCAGGGGCTGCAGCTGTCACACTTTGATCGTTTCCTTGAGTTCCTGTTGGGTGACAAGTGTTACAGCATGCAAGTGGCTTCCACTGCTCCCGCAAGCTCTTCTCATGCGGAGAAACAGGCACTGTCGGTGCCTTGGAATGTCTTGCTTCAGTACGAGTTTGAGCTTCGTAAGTGGGCTATCAAGGAGGCCCATCGCGACGGTACCCCGCTCGGTGACAAGTTGTATGAGGCCACTCGGAATACCGAGCTCAAGGAGCTCCACTTCACCTCTCAGGTCGCCTTGTCAAAACGTTCGGCCGCTCATGATCCTCCCCCTCCAAAGTGGCCTCGCAAGGGCAAGGACGGCAAAGGGGAAAAAGGCGGCAAGGACGGCAAGGGTGGCAAGGACGGCAAAGGTGGCAAGTCCACTGGCAAGATTCAGGTCGGGGAGTCCTGGTACGAGTTGGCGGCCAAGACTCCGGATGGTCGCGAGCTTTGTTATGCCTACAATATCAAGCGTGGATGTCAGGTCAAGGGATGCCAACGCGTCCACGCGTGTCGCGTGAAGGGCTGCCAGGGCAACCATCCGGCATATCAACACGGCGCGCAAGGTGATTCCTGACTTCGCCGTGGTCCGTTGAATTCAGTTGGCGATTGTACTTCAGGGATACGTCCTACGCTTCGCGTGCTGTATCTGTTTTCAGGTCCGTCTCGCAAATCGGATGTTCGTGGCTCCCTGGAGGCGCTTTGCAAGGCACAGAGTATCACTTTGGTAATGTCAGAAATTGACATCTGCCGCGATCCCAAGCTAGACCTTTTGGATCCTGCCATCGCCGATCGATGTTTGCAGGAGGTTAAGAATTCTGAGTGGGATGTGGTGTTGGTGACCCCACCCTGTGGGACCTTTTCGCGGGCTCGGTGTGTACAGCCGGGTTCTCGGCCACTGCGATCACGTCTTTATCCTCGGGGCTTTCCTTGGCTGTCCGATTCTCACCGAGCTCTTGTTGAACATGGCAACCAGCTTGTTTCTTTTGCCTTTGACATCTGCACAAATGCGCTTTCGAATTCAGTACCTTTTCTACTTGAGCATCCTGAAGATTTGGGACTCACTTCCAACGGTCATGCTCCGGCTTCCATTTGGCAGCTACCGGAGGCCGTTGCTCTCTTCAAGCATGAGAATGTCATCACTTTCGCAGTATACCAATGCCAATATGGGGCGTTTTCGCCCAAGCCTACACGTTTTCTGTCTTCTATTCCGGTTACTTCTCGAATGCCCTTCACTGGGCCGCCTCGGTTTGACGCTTCAGATCGATACCTCGGCCCTTTACCGAAGTACTGTGGTCATCGGCATCAGCAAAAACTGCTCGGGCCTTCCGCTACTTCCGCGGCCGCAGCTTACCCGGACGATTTGTGCAGAACCATTGCTGAATGGTGTTTCTCCGTCTTCGATGGGGGTGGAACACTGGCTGCATTGGCTCCTACACTGGTGCTGGGACCGGGTTTTCAGTTTCCAGCGAGGGAAGTGGAGGCTGGCTCGGGCGCTTCCCCTGCGGAGCGACTTGCTGCAGAATGCTTGAGGAGTGGGACAATTTCGCACGGGCAACTTCTGCGCATCTCTGAATTGCTGCCGGATGAAGACAGAGTTCGACAGACTTCTAGGGTGATCGAAGGTCAGCGATCTTTCACTGCAGGAGCCTTTGTTCACTCTGACAAGGTTGGCATCAGGCGCAACACGAGGAGCTTTCCTTTGTCTTCAGAGCTTTTGGCCAAGCTGCTCTCGTGTGGCTTCCCTGGCCGACCCTTTACTTCTTTAGCATTCTTTCGTGATCTTAAGCAACCGCCGCATCGGGACACCACGAACGGACCTTTTGACAATCTGCTTTTGGCCTGTTCAGGGTTTTCGGGGGGCGGTCTTTGGGTTCAGTCGGAGGGCGGCTCGGTCCGTCGTTTCATAAGTGGTTCGTGGCTGTCGGGTCATATCCTGGACTGGGACGGCGGCAAGATTACCTTCGATCCACATGTCTGGCATTCCACGGAGGACTGGGAAGGTTGTCGCTTGGTCCTGGCCGGGTACACCATTGCGAACGATGGGCAGCTCGCTGAATCGGACCGGGATGCTTTACTTGACTTGGGATTCGACCTGCCAGGAAAGCGAAAGCGGGACCACTGCGAGACCACGACCGCAGGGGATGCTGGCGACGATGGGAAGGAGATTGAGGACCTACCTTATAGTGAGCTGAAGTCTGGCTGTGAGGGACCGCCCTTGGTGGGCGAGTTCGCAGGGGCGACTGACGAGTTTGTGGACGGCTTCGGTAGATGCTCGCCGGGGCGTTGGAAACCTATCTGCCGGGGGCGCCACATGTCTCCTGCCGCCACTTCCTTTGCACAACAGCTTAAGGATCGTGTCCGAAAGTTTGTTCTTGAAAACGTGCCTGATCTGGCAAAAGCGACTTTTCGTCTGGCGACGGGGCATTGGAATGGTCCCTTGTTCGCTCCGGAGGCAATGGACAAACTTCGCGAGGACTGGTTCTGCATGCTGCCGGATCCTGCACGAGCAAGGGAGCTGATTCCTCATCAGCCATTCTACTTGCGGGCAATGGCACAGACCCTAAAAATCTTGGAGGATCCCGACTACCGCATCATCGAGGAGGGCAAGTTCTGCTTCGTGAATGGTGTGGAGGTCGGACACACTGCGCCATTGGGGCCGGTCCCTCAAGTCTTCAGAGCTCGTCGAAAGGATCAGAAATACGATGAGTCCGACTGGCAACCGCTGATGGATAATTATCGGGACGGCCCTGAGGTTGCAAAATCGCTTGAGGAAGCATTTGCAAAAGAAGAGGCAGAAGGCCGTATGTTCCCACTTTCTCTTTCAGAGGCCCGGGCCCGCTATCCGGGGGCGGCACTTCGTATTGCAGCGCAGGCAGTGATTCCGAAACCTGACCAAGATTTTCGTGTGGTCCATGATGGGACCCACGGGGTCCACGTTAACAATGAGATTGTTATGCTGGACCGTCTTGAATCGCCAGGGGCTAGGGAAGTGTCCGCGATCCAAAAGCTGGGCAGCGTGTCTGATGAGAAAGTCCTCTTCGGGCTCGTGGGCGACGTGAAAAAGGCGCACAGACGATACTTGCACCATCCCGACCATTGGGGGGTGCTCTCCTGCAGAACGAGGAGCGATTCCTCTGTGGTCTGGGTCAATCGCACCGGGACTTTCGGAATTGCTTCAGCGGCTTATTGGTTTGCGCGGATCATCGGTCTCGTGGGCAGGCTTTCCCTCAGAGTTCTTCTTCAGTCATTCCTCTTCATGCTCATTTATGCCGATGATCTACACGTGCTCAGTGGGGGACCCGATCGCTGGCTCAATCTCTGGATGTCCCTTGCGCTACTATGCCTTCAGGGGACCCCCTTTTCAGAACGAAAGTGGCGCGGGGGACTGCAACTTGATTGGGTCGGTTATTGGATTGATTATGGACGCTTCAAGCTTGGAATATCTGAAAGGAGGTGCCATTGGATCATCAGTGGCATCGAATCCATGGAGGGAAACGGCTGGCTTGTGGATGTCCGACGATTTCATGAGCTTCACGGGAGACTCGGTTTCATGTCCCAGGTCTTAGTTTGGATTAGGCCCTTCTTGGCTCCTGGTTACGCTTGGCTGGCTGCTGTGAGGAAGGGGGCTGTGCTCGCGCTTCCCAATCTTATCCGTTGTGTCTTGAGGTTTATCGCTGACCGCTTGAGGCACGGTGCTCGTACTTACGAATCGGGCCGTCTTGAGAAGGACTGTGGGGAGCTTTTCCGCACGGATGCCGCTTGCAATGATTCTTCGGTTGTCTTGGGCGGATGGTTTTTGCACAAAGGGCCGGAGCCAAAGAAGGCCCCATGGTTTCAGATCACTTTGAGCAGGGACGACGCTCCTTGGTTGTTCAAGAAGGATTCGGGCAGTTCGTGGGCGAGCACTTCGGCTGAGGTTCTTGCTTCGCTTGCGGCGCTACACTTGTTGAGACGTGACTTCAAGGATCTTTGGTCAGTTCCTGGACACTTCCGTGCTTGCTTCTGTGGCGGGACTGATAATAAATCTGCCGAGGCGCTGTCTTGCAAGCTGCTCACGACTCGAGTGCCTCTCATGTTTGTGGTGATGGAGTTCGTCACCTTTTGTGACGCTCTGGGTTTCAGATGCAACCTCAGCTGGAGACCCAGGGACTCCAATCAGGAGGCGGACCGCATCACCAAACATGTTTTCGAGGACTTCGATGAAAACTTGAGACTGCCTTTCAGCTGGTCAGATATGACCTTATCAGTTCTGCCGTCTCTCTTGAGATTCGCGAGCTTTCAGTCTGAACTTGATTCCATCAAGGCCTCGATTGCGGATGATGGAACAACCTCAGCTCCTCGAATAAGGTTCGAGAAAAGTCAGTGGGGATGAGGGAAAGGAGATGCCCTCGTCTGCGAAAGGGGGCAAATCCCTCTCGTCATCTCCTGTATGCAGGAGGTGTCATTTGCACTGTGTGATGTCGGGCTGTGCGGACCAAAACGAAGTCTCCTTGTGCGTACTGCTGTCATTCCCTGTTCCTTAAACCCTTTCCTTAAACCCTCCGGGTTTTAAGAAAGTTTTGAGCCTCCTGGGTACAAGCCTAGTTTGGGTAGCGAAGCGGACCAAACAGTTTGTTCCAAGGAGGCCCGGGGGGGAGGGGGGGAACAATGGGGGCTTGAGACCACTATCAGTTCTGTACGCCTCAGCCATCATGCTTCGGTCCACGGCCTGCATGCAGTTGCTCTCAGTCATGTCAGTTATGTCAGTCATGTCAGTTGCTTGCAGTTTTCAGTTTTCCTTGCTCGCGTTGCTTTTCAGTTTTCCCTTTGGCGAAACATTCATGTGAGGATGATTTTAAAGAAGTTTTATCTTTGAACACTCCTCCTCAAAGGAGGTGTTTTCCAAATCTTTGATTTATCATTTCAGTCGCCTATGACTTTATGTTATTTGAGTTGAGGGCGGTTCGCCCCATGTCAGTTCAATGATATATCTTACGCCGATACATTCTGGATCAACCGGAAGGGGACTCTTAGTCCTTTTAGTGTCCCACCCGGCCCACCCTGTATATTATTTCTCATATGGTCTGTTCATAACAGCCCAATCTGGATGGGGGGGCAAATCCCTCTCGTCATCTCCTGTATGCAGGAGGTGTCATTTGCACTGTGTGATGTCGGGCTGTGCGGACCAAAACGAAGTCTCCTTGTGCGTACTGCTGTCATTCCCTGTTCCTTAAACCCTTTCCTTAAACCCTCCGGGTTTTAAGAAAGTTTTGAGCCTCCTGGGTACAAAATTCTATTATTGAAATCCGGTGTTGCAAGCCGCACTGCACCCGAAGCAATGGCATGTCAGCAGCCCATGTCTCGGCACAAGGCCTTGGGACGGGGCGGGACAGCGGATTATCTGTCAAAACGAGACTTCTTCTGTGACGAATTCTGGCTTATGAATGAGTGCAGTGCATGTTGAAATGGTGTCTTTCAATTGATAATTAATCTTGTGGGTGATGGAACTTGTTCAGATTAGAACCTAGAGCGATGAGTGCTGATTTCTATGCGGACTTATGAAACTGGAGTAAGCACCAGAGCGAATTGCCGACAAAGGATTCAAAGACACTCTTCAGGAATGGTGGTAGAGTCCTGCCTGCACGTCGCAGACCACATCGTCAATACATTCGCCCCACCCGTGAATCTTCATCGTAAACAAACCCTCAAGGCTAAACCCCATCGTAAACAAATCCTCAAAGATAAAACATAAGCCCTAAACCGGCCCCACACCTTAAACCTACCAAACCCTCCACGCTTTCACCGTCCCATGCCTCAAAGTCTGAACACAGCCAGGTTTGCCGTCCTTTGCCGGTGCCGCCTTTGGGCCCGGATTTGCACTTCGCCCCGTCCTGAGTCTTGTGTCAACGATGTGGGAGTTTCCGAATATTCAGGGTACCTTATTTTGGGATTCTCATAATTGGGATCCTGCAATTCAGGGTGCGGATCCCAATTTTCGGAAGCTCCCATGTCTTGTGGCCCTCAGGCTTAGGTGTCAGGCTGCTTCTTGTTTCGCCAAGGTTTGGCAATTGCTGCATCGAAAATGTCGGCACTGCATGGTGTGGCCTGGCAATCTCGTTTCCTTGCACCATGGGCGAAAACCTGTCAGTGGTTTTGGTAGGCAGGAGGTTTTTTCAGCAAAGTGTGGTTTCCACAAACAGCAAAGTGGATGTGGCCATGCAGTCAAAATGGGTTCCGGTTGTGCAGCAAAGACAAAACATCACACGAAATTGTATGACTTTCGGGTCAAGGCACCATCTTGCGTTGCAGGTGTCCACGGGGGTTTAGCAGCAGTATCCCCAGCTTTGTGGGAAATGCAAGATCGTGAAGGTTGAAGCGCTTTCGTCCCATTTGTCGACGATGCGCACGCAACTGAGCCGGTGCTAGCCAGCTGCCGGGAAGCTAACCTCGTGTTACATCTAGCACTGGGAAGGCGGCAGGGACGGCTGAGGATTCGGGAACCTCCATCCACAGCTCGGCAACAGCAGCGTCTTGGCCCCTTGTGTGCTCGCGGTGGACACGAAGCTCGTCCTAGAATTTCAAGAGGGTTCACAGTCAGCGTGCTGGGCCACAAAGGTCCGAATGCCATCATGGAACGTGTCTTAGTCACACTCGGCCGGCTGTGTTTCTGTGTAGCCAGGCGAAGGCTGTGCAGTTTCGTTCTATTTGACTTAGCCGAAGAGCATGCCATTCGTCCATCCACAGGGTCCTAGCATGGGCTCTTTGCAAGTGCTTCGACAAATACAGAGACAACCAACTTCCTGGTCGACGGCACCTCTCGGGAGCTCAATGCCACAGAGATTCTTTTACCCCTAAACCCTAAACGGCCCTAAACCCTAAACTCGGTGCGACGTTTGTTCCATCAATGCTGCTTCAGACCCGCGCCCGCTGCGACGCGAGTGCGACCGTCCGGATGGACATGAGGTGCAGCAGCAAACGGCCCGATGCGGTTTTGAACTAACTTGTTACCTGCTCTTACGGCCTGTGTCCGTAAACCTTATGCCCGTAAACGCCGGACACTAGAAATTCTGGTGTAGGAAGAAATTCCTCCGATATTTTTGCCACCAGAATGCTTGTCACAGGCGCAAGCCTGGATGGCTTCTCCCCATAATGTTGCAGGACCTGGCATGTGAGAGATCCCCGTGGCAGTTTCAATTGTTTGCAATCCCAATCTCAGAAAGCATTTTTGAGCATAGGGTTTGAGGTCAGTCGCGACAGTCCGAAATACAGGAAGTTAGCTTTGCCATCGACGGTTCGACGGGACCTTACCACAGCCTGCGGACGCATCATCACCGTGCCCACTCCAGACAAGGTCAGCAGTCGATGTCGATGTGGTGTCTTTCGTCCCTCGCTAATCAGCTACGAAAGTTTCACTTCCTCAGAGAGCCTGCAATATATATGTCCTCTAGGCACCGCGAGGCGGGGGATTTCCTTGCGGAGCACTGGGTGATTTTTTCGACATTTCAGCACATTCACGCGTCTATGTGGGGCTTCGTTTTCAGGATGTTTGAGCCGGAGGATGTAGGCCTTCGTCTTTGGAGGTTTTTGCTAGAGGACAGGTGCCTCCCGAGAATTCCAAGTTGGCCAAGGCATGATCCGGTACACAGGTGCTCCTCCATTTTGGTCTTGAGATGGGGGTGTCTAAGTCTGGAAGGGGGTGTTTCAGTGGCACTTCCCTGACACTCTGACAGAGACTCCGGTGCAGAGGGAGGGCGGGACGCGAGGCCGTCTTGCGAAGACCCCTTCGTGCGATCTTCTGAGCTAATTGCTCAGCCAGGCGGCGAGCGACGGGCCCGGTTAGCGGCTTCGACGCCTCGCTTGTGGCGGAATGCAGCAGCATTTATGTCTCAAAGATGCCACTCACATGTGCCTTGGCTGTGGCAGTCCTGTTGGTCACTCAGTCTTAGCTGATAGAGTCAAGGTGAAGCTTTGTGCAACTTCAACTTGCCATGCATCCGGTCTACCGGCCAGCATTATATGCTCATGTGGCAGTCGAGTAGAGACTCTGCTATGCGAAGGCAAGCAACATGCACCCCCGTTGAATCTCCTGTGCACCGCCACAGGTACAGCTGATTTCAGCTGAGGCTTAGGATCGCGGCCGCTTTCGGTCGGACGATGTCGATGCTCAGATTTGACGGTTCGGGGAGCCCACATGTGTCGTTGCAGTCGGAGTGGGCAATGCCTCCCGAGCACTTGCTGGTGCATGGGGTCTTCAGCGTCGGCAGTGCCAGGCGGAGGTGCGCAGCTTCTGCTCACAGCTGACACTAAGTAGCAGCCGAAACTCAGAGCAAGCCGTGATCTCAGAGCTCTGCGCATCTCAAGGGCTGGACGCCGCAAAAGGCAGTGTCCCCCTGCTCGTTGTCACTTGGGTGCAGACGAGGGCGGTGCCTAAATCCACCAGGTCCAAGCCACGAAGGCGTGAAGCCCGGAGGCTGCGGTCAAGAGCCCACATGTCTGCAATGTTTGGTTCTTCGAGAAGTCTGAAGGTGAAGGGCCTTTCTGCCTCCAGAGGAAGCCTCGCACAGTTCCTTTAGCCGACTGCTCTTGGGATGCCTGACACGGACTTTGCAGCAGAGGCGCTGGAGAAGTCGGTCTCCGATGCCCTCTTCCAAGACCACCGTACGCAGCCTGGTACATCTCGTCCCATGGAGGTCCTGCAGCCTGTGTCGGTCATGAGATGCATGCTTGAAGAGTTGCGCCGCTTTGTACCCCGAGGTTGAGGGGGGAGGTAGGAAACATAGGGCTTCGGACTGTGTCCATGCCGAAGCGATCCGAAGCGTTTGCAAGGTTGCTGCCAAGAGCAAGCTGAAAGTATCTGAAAGTTTTGGGTTGCTAGGCCCAGCACTGCTCGGCTCACTCTACTGGGAGAGGTGTCACAGACACTCGGCAACAACGTTCGGCAGCAACAAGGGCACAAGGCGAGGATAAGATTGCAGCCGTGACTCGGGCTTCTGTCTCAGGGGATGCACCTCTGACGCAGTCATTGTGGTTTGGGGTTCAGGGTTTAGGGTTTAGGGTTCAGGTTTTGGGGTTAAGGGTTTAGGATTCCTCTCAGCCCTTGTTGAAGCCGCGTGTCCCCCACGCTTCTGTGCTGAGCTTCGGGCCCCTGAAGCCGCAGATGGGGGATCGTATGGGATCTCGGCCCTAGACCCTAGACCCTAAAGCCCGAAACCCCTGAACCCTAAACCACAAACCCCTAAACCCCTAAACCCTAAACCCTAAAGTGTCAGAGTTTGGGAACAGTTTGCGGGTTCTCAGCGGTCTCGGTTACGGAAGCTCCTCGCGGGGAGGGTCGGGGGAGCCCTTCGTCCCGTTCTCTGATGGCCCTTATAGATCCCTTACAGTAACCCTTGT